CTCAGTCTAGATCAAACTAAAGATTTAGTTTGTTGGAGCATGGAAACACTTTTGGATGGTTCCTTTGGACCAATTGGAGAAAGTTGTGAAAGCATTAAACAACAGAAGAAAATTAAATGGATATTGTTCGCAGGACTTGATTGTAGTCTTTGCCTCAGGAGATATCGCCTCTGACCATACAGAATAATATTTGGATGATTAGCATGTTGATTCGGTGCATTGGAACTGTTGTAAAGTACTGCACTTGAAGTTGGTGATTCTGGTTGTAATGGTTGTGATCTAAATGTCTATGTATCTGAATGTATATCGTGCACGTCCATATCGTGACGACGATCAATTTTCGATATATTTTGCAGCGCTTAAGTACATGTAGCCGCAGCCCACGTGGGTGATGCCACCAGGTCATACATATTTCATGCAAAAGTCTCTAAATTACAATGTAAAACAATAACTAATCAGATAAAAGACACAAACCTTCATTCAAACCTTAGTCTGGACTTTTAGGTGTGAAAATGCCTCAATAATAAAAAAAACAAACTGACAACCATCTCACTGCTTATGCTTGTGGCACTTCAATTAGTAGGACAGTATGCCTTTTAACTACTGAGAGGGAAAGAGCTGAGGTGATCTATTCAGTGTGGGAGACTGGTTAACAATATTCCAATATGGTTGATCACACTAATGGATGTACAAATCTGAAGCAACTGTCATTCACGATACAGGTCCCTGTTCCAATGCTCTTATTTTCATTAGCATATGAAAGACTCTTAGAAACGCTACACTTGTGTTCTTGAGTAAAAGCTTTTTGGACTGTGCATGAATACCTGCCTGCATTTAGCTTGCATTTCCTCCTAATTTGTACTTGCTTCACCCATGACAAATAACTTATGACTGAATTGACGATATGTGGAACAGGCAAAGGCACAAAGCACACAGGGCTGAACTCGATCATTGAGTTGAACATGTGCAAAGTTTGTCTTTGTGTGTGCAACTAGTATTTCTTTATTCTGACTGCTCATTCACTGTATTTAGAACAGGAAATGAGCGATATAACTTTAAATAGGTGAGCACTGACTTGTTTTCAGAGCAAAGGCAGGAGAAGGAACAGAAGGCTAGATGGCAGAGGGGATGCGAGTTCGAGCTGACGGATCAGAACATGTGAGGCAACTTCACACTGTGATATTTGGCTACCTCTGACACTGGACCCATCACGAACGAATTACAACTAAGCAGATGGAACCCATGGCTGGCTCATTAACAGAACATGCTAATGAGATGATTTGTCCATGACACAGGGCAGAGGGAAAGCACAAGGGAAGAGGAGAGGAAAGAAGCATTTAGAGGGATGTTCGTGGGTGATTAGAAACAATTTATTGATTTATTGTTTGCTCAATTGCACGTGGAAATAATGTGAATAAAGTTGAATTATTTTATCAAGTAATACTGAATAAACAGATAAGCTTTCCCTCACACTGCCATTTTCCAGTGGCTATGAAACCAGTTGCTCTGAATTTATCAGTGAACTGCAATTGCAGAATGGTTGTCTAGTTCTTGTGGTAAAAATATTGAATACTGAATTGGTCTCATAGCATACATTTTTTATCTGTCATAAAAACTTCCTGGATCTGCCCCTTAATCCTTAAAACTCCAAGTATGGTGGAAATTGGTTTAGTGTTTTTTCTAAAATCCTGCAAACAAATGCAACAGAGCCTTAACCATACAAACAAACAGACAGACAAAACCTCCTTTTGGACCTACTATATGTTTTCAGAGACGGACAGAGTGACATAAGAAATTGCTATCATGTGTCTAGCTTTAAGAGTGGAAATGCAGGCATGGTGCGATTTGGTTAAACGGGCAACCAGTGCTCTGTAGCAGCGGTGGCTGGGGACTCATTAATGTAAGTGCCTTATTCGATCATGAGAAAATCCATTGTCAATATGTAAATATTAATCATGGCCTTTTTTAGATTTATCAAGGATTTAAAAACAAACCTTGGCTTTTAGAAAGCCAGTATATAGTAAAAACACATCTGATTGTAATGGATACATTTTGACGTAGCGGTGTTAGGGTATATAGATGAGCCCACCCCTCTCGCTGTCTGTTTCCTTTGCTTTTGACATCAGCCAAGGTTATTTTTAGCTCCATCCAAGGGGAGAGGGAGTGGGAACGACACAGTCCCTTGTAGATGGGTGGATGAGAGGAGTAGGCGTAGGAGGAAGCATGGATGAATTCAGGATGGGGGCCTATTTGAATATTCATAGAAACAGCTGCATTCACAAAGGTGTTGAGATGGAGAGGAGCACATGAGGCATCGGTGAAAATCAATAGAGGCCTCTCCCACATAGAGAATCAGGTGATAGGCTTGATTACCAATGCTATGTTGTTTCTGACAGCTGGTCTTATTATTAATAGTGCATCTTAACATTTTAACTGATATTAGCTTGTTTGTTTTAGTGTTTTAGGCGCTTTCAAATGAGACAATTAGTAAATTGTCTGTCCAGATCTGTTGAATCTAATCCCTGGTTTATCATGAGCTTCCATTTTGATTGACTGAATTACAGAAATTAACAATGAGTTCAAGAAACCAGACGTATTCTTCCAATGGGAAGTGATGACCTTTAATAATTCGGTTGTAGCTTACAGGAAGTTGCAAGATTTAATTTGCGACCATGGGGCTCAACTTCAAAATGAACTAAAGTCCAGTCTTGTTGGGCCTTTATATCATAATTGGACACACATTAAAGTACTATTCTTAGCCATACTAGCATTTCTCTGTCTTTTGGTTCGGTCTCCGCTGTGCTTCAGATTTCAGCAACTATTAGATGGACTGCCCTTATAATTCAGTACAGAAATCCTTGGACCCTAGAGGATGAAGCCTATTGACTTTGGCTATCACCTTCTATTTTATTATACTGCCACCAGGAATTGCTTGGTTTTCACAGTCCATCCATACATACATACACACATTCATACATAAATTATCCTCTAAGGGTTGCAGTGGGGGTTTAGCTGACATTCGGCGAGAGGCGTGATACACCCTTTACAGCTCGCCTCTGTATTGCAGGGTTGACATACAGAGACAAACCACCATTCACAGTAACAATTGCAATTTACAGTCTCCAGTTGACTTAAAGGTCCAGTGTGTAAGATTTAGGTGAAAGTGAACAATTTGCAGAAATTGAATGTAGAATAATCCTCATGATGTTTTCAGTAGTTTGTTTCATCTAAATTGTATAAATTGTAGTTTTCTTTACCCCAGAAAAGGCCCTTTATATTTAAATACTATATATTTACATCAGGAGCCATAAAGAATGTCACAATTGTTTGTAATAGGCTTTTTTTTTAAAGAATTTACCTGTTGGGTCATTTCTTATGGGAGGACAGTCTCACGTTAAAATTTTAACAAAATTCAAACTATGTTGCATCATTAATTGTTCATATTTACTGTATGTTGTAGTGCCTCTTTTGTTTTTTATCCATACCAATGGTGCTCCACAATAAATTCACCTCAGCTGATCATCCACACATTTAGCATATGGTGCCTTTAATGTCTGCAGTGGAATGAATAAAAATGTCAGTGACCAGAAAATGGTGAAATGCTGCTGCTGTTCGTTTGAACAACTTCCATAATGCCACTAAATTGTATTTTAAGAGTACTTACCAGCATGGTCAAAAGAAATAATAACCATACAACTTTTATCCAAAATCAACTTTTTAATTTAATCCAGTGCTTCAGTAGAGTACAGTTAACAATAAAAAAAGCATGATCTTGCACACATTTAACAGGGACAAAAAACAAGCTTCTTGATAATTATATTTGGTATTTCTGGGTGTCTACTAAAGGTGTTGTGTCAAAGTGTGACCTAAACTAACTTCATGCACACCAAAACACTCACACAGAAAAAAACTGAAATATTTCTGCTTCTCTCTGGCTGCTCTATTCCTGGCACAAGTAGGCCTGTACAGTTTACATTAACTGCAACTTACAAAGACATATTGATGTTACTAGTAAAAGGCACTCAGAGAAAAGCTGGGCCATGCCAATAAAACTGAAAGCGAACTGACAACAATCACTTAAAGGTCCAGTGCCTAAGATTTTGGTGAAAGGATTATTTGACAGAAATTGAATATAAAATAATCCTACTGATGTTTTTACTGGTGTGTAATAATCAAAATTGTATGAACTTTATATTAGAATGGGCCCTTTATATCTAAAAACGTAATATTTACATGGAGGGGGGTCATCTCTGTGGAGGCCGCCATGTTTTTTACTATCTACCTTTTGAGTTTTTGTGACAACTGAAGTCCTTCACAGGTTCTCTTTCATGTATGGAAGGGGAGGGTGATGTATTCAGCTGCAACATGCAACTTCACCTCTAGAACTACACACTGAACCTTGAAGCAACTGAATCGTTTCATTCCAAAACCATTGATATTTGTCTCATTTAAAAAAATACAATCTGGAATGTTTAAAAATAGCTTAACTTAACACCTACAATGTGCTACACTTAAAGGTACAGTGTGTAGGATTCAGTGACATCTAGTGGTGAGGTTGCATGTTGCAGCTGAATACACCTCACCCTCTCTTTCTAAAAGAGAACCTGTGGATCCTTCAGTTGTCATAAAAACTGAAAAGTGTTTAGTTTGTCCA